GTCGGTAAAAAAACCTTTTAGGACGACCTCTCGAGCCCTTTCGATTCCCGAAAAAGCACTCGCAACAGCCGAAGCGTTTTTTATCATTAAAAACGTCGTCGAACGGTACAATAACATGTTGTAATAGTGCAAACCGGAAGGGATTGGATTTCAATGTTATTCTTTTATCGCTTGCGACCGCGTTATAATAGTATATTATTATTATAGGCCCGAGTCGAATAAAGCGTACATCCGGTTTCATATATATTACACGTGCGTGTATCAATTGATTTCCGTGTGTGTGCCCGTAATTATAGGAACCTGACGAGTGACGAGTGACGAGCTTGTCACTTTGGTGGGACGTGACGTGTGTGCGACGTCGAAGCCTTTTGAACGAGACGGTCGTCGTGCTGCCACCCGGATGACTTGCGCGCGTTACGAAAATGTGTGTAGGCAACATTACACAACTCACTGGAAGGAAAACCACAATCGAAAACAGCTTCGTTTCGTAAATATTTATATATATATAATAATACGTAAAAACGGGGTAATTGACACTGTTCGTTTTCAATAACAAAACAATAAAAATTGTCTTAACTACCTAAAATATTATTATTTCTCAGACTAGATAGTATTTATTATTATTATTTATTTATTTTTTAAACATTTATTTTTTCTTTAAATCACCTAAATTATTATATTTATTGCTGAGACGTTTTGTCATAATAATATATATGTCTAAAAGTAAACATTTTATTTTATATAATTTATACATATCGCGTGGAATATGTTTTTGATTGTTAAAAAGAAAATGTTACGAGGATCCCGTTCGGTAGGCCCTAGGACGTTATTTATTTTAATTTAATAGGAACTTAGGGATGCAATACAATTAAAAACACAATGCGGAGAACAACTGGAGGAGATGCCCGAAACTAAATTTACGAACACAATGCTAATCATCAAATATAACGTCGAAGGAATTATTTAAGTACATTGAACAGATCTCGTTGAGTTTATGTAACGACATAATATTATCACAAGGTTTAGTTTTAATAATGTTATTCCTTAACAGTTTCGAAACGAGGCATAAATCTTAAACGAAAACGAAAACGTTAAAATAAAATATATCCTCAGACTGGACAGTCTCGTACAATTTGAGCAAGTGAATTTTGTATGAACTGAAAACGTTGAGAATGTAATTTGTTATCCTCAGTTCTGGATATTAAAAAAAAAATGAAAACAAACAACTAAATGAAACGATAATAAATCAACATGAAATTTCAATCATATTATAATTTATGCCTCTCCGACACCTACTACACACTACCATGCCATTACTTTGTCGAGTTTTTTCTTTTTTATACATATAATATATTTATAAATTTTAGAAATACGACTATAGTAATTAATATATTATTGTATGAAACGCAATATTATTAAATACACAATAATTAAATAGTATAATATAATATTATAGAACCACGTGACGCGCGTCGCAGGTCAGCCTACCAACAACAGTCGACACGTGTAGGTACCTACGTCGCACTGAGTTTAAAACATTTTTTTTTTTTTTAACAACAAATAATTACGGTAACGTTTAAATCTATGCACATCATATTATTAATCATAATAATATATTATATTAGTTATTAATATCATTGTTCTGTGATCGCGCGCGAAATTTTTTATTAAGATTTTTTTGTCTTTGAGCTTTTTTTTTTTGGTTTACTGCGCGCGAAACGTCGTTCCGGCGGGCGGGTGGCCGGTGATGGGAAGGGAGGGCAAGAGGGTCGGCGGTACGAGGCCGTTGTCAACACGCGCTCTCGACGTATCCGACGGAGTGGTGCTGATGCCTAACCGCGCCGGCCATCTGGGCCTGACGGCGCTTGTACGCGTGGAACTCCTCCTTCATAGCCCGGAGCCGTGCCTCGACGCTGTCGTACTTGGCCTTCTTGAGCTGCGTGGGCGTCCGGGACCGGGACGGGGACGGCGTGCACGCGACGGAAGGCCCGAACAGCGCTGTCTGCTGGAGCAGCTCGGTGGGCGTTGGCGTCAGCGGGAACACCGGGTCGAACTCGTACTGGTCGTCGACGCTCAGCGGCGGCTTGTCGCTGGCGGCCGTGCTGCTGCCACAGCTGTCGGCGCTGCCGAACAGCAGTGGTGGCAGCGGCGGCGACGACGGCAGCCGGACATGCGGCGCGCCGAAGTCCAACCACCGTCCGTCGGCGTAAAACAGCGACGACGGGTGGGGCGGCGGTGGCGGCGGCGGGTGTTTGTACGGCGGCAGTGGCCCGGCCCGGCCTCCGCACCAGTCGTCCAGCACGCTAGCCGCCCCGGCGTTTTGGTGCTGCACGCTGGATGTAGTGTTCTTGGAACCGAACCCGCTGGAACTGGAACGGCTCTCGGGCGACCGTTCGCTGACGGTGTTGTTGACGGGGGCGGTGCCGTCGGAAGTGAGTTCCGGGGCGCTCCGGGCGTACCGCATGTGCCGGGACCGGTACCTGCCCGGGTTCGGGTGGTACCTGGGACTGGCTGGCTGCAGCCGGCGCATCAGCGTCCGGTGGTTCTCCTCGTGTATCGCCCTTAGCGACGGCAGTTGTTGGCTGTACCGCTCGTGCACGCTCCGCAGCGTCGTCCGGTCGTCGGCGGCACCGGGACCCGCGGGCGCCGTTGAACGGTCGAAACCGTACGGCGTCCGCGGGTCGCACACCGTGGCCACGACCACGATCGGCCGGCGGCGGTCGTCGACGACCGTGTCCTCTGTCCACCTTGGGCCGTCGCCGCCGCCGCCTCCACTACTGCCACTGACCGTCAGTAGCGGCTGTCGGCTCCACGTCCGGTTGGAGAAACTCGGATGAGACAGGAACCCGCCGTCGTCGCTGCTGCCGGACGACGAACACCCGCTGCCCCGTCGACTGGACGGCCCAGAGTCGCCGGTCAACACGAACCGGCCGTCGGCTGACCGGGAGATGCGGCCGAGGCGGCGCCGTGGGCGTTGGCCCTCCGGCAGACCGTCCACGCAGTCTTGGACACCGCGGTCCAGGAACGAACTCGAACGGGACGGCCGCGCCACCATGTTCAGAACGACGTTGCATCCGCTGCTCAGACTTGATATTCGGGTTGATCTAGATCTAGAAAGACAAACGAGAGCTTATAGTGTTCTGTCATTTAAGTGTATCGTTTATTATTATTATTATAATATGATATATTACTGTAATAGTAATAACATATTATATTTGAATCGTGAAGTACGAAGCCAATAAACTTAATGATAAATGATAATATGTACACACTCGAAATGCATTTTAAAGTTTGCAGCGATTTACAATATTATTATAATACAACAAACGAACGCGTGTTGATAATATTATTAGTATTATGCGGAAAAAACATGCTTATCAAACGGTGTTGACCGATTAGAAACGGACCAAATGTACGAACACAAAAAAGAAAAATCCATTTTATCTATATTATGTGAAATCGCAAAACGTCAATCTAATGATTGTTAGACATATCTACTGATTGAGAAAAAAAATGCAATCATAACCGAATGCTTCGGTACCTAGGTACGTCTTGTCAAAGGACACACGATGCGTGGTGAATATCTACAACTAATATTATAATGCTAAACCTTTTCAACGAGTTCAACGTAATATATTATTATACATCCGAATTATGTTTGTGAACTTAGTAGCGCACTAGCGCACATTTAAGCATGCCCAACAAATTTGTTGGTATTTTGCAGTTGTAGGTATATTGTAGGGAAAAAATTGTAGTTTGTTGAACTTTCGTCGAAGAGACATACGTAGGTAAGAACCATGCCAGCAGCCAAATTTTTAAAAATCTCGTACAGAAGTATACCCAACAATGTATATTTAGGTTTGTGTCAAAATAAACCAAGGTCTCAAATTTTGTTGGAATAAGTTTAAAAAAAAAATTTCAACAAACCAAAAACACATTGTTGGACATTTTTAAAATCATGGATGTTGCTGTGGTCTTAGTGGGGTGTTTTCAGATAAATACTCGATGTATCTTTAACGAAGGACCAAAATTGTTTTTCCATTAATGTCGAACAAAGCACCAGCGAAATTGTTGGATATACTTGAACGATATCTGTTACATGCACACACGTGCTCCGCCACAAGTTTACAGACATGTTTGAGTTAATGCATTTTAGTGTCTAACAAGTTTATTAAGTTAGGTCAAACTCGTCCAAACTGTGCCATAACCCCATGGTCCTCAAGTATCTAACTATTGCATACGTACTATGTTATATCTATTGTATGCGATTTAATTAGTTTAATGGGTATGTGATAACTGTAAATGAATCAATAGGTACTAAACTCGTTGACCCTCAAAAGTGTATAGTCAAATAACTTAAATAATGTTCAACGGATTCGTATGGTGCACAATAAGTCGTAATAGTGACTATATGTCTATATATCATATGATGATAGGAATTGTAATCGAATAATTGTTTTGAGCGTAACACGATTGATTTAAATGTGGTCGGTACGTATACAGAGAAAAATAAAAAATAACTGTGGTACTATATAGGACGTGTTCATATACAAACAATTATATTTCAGTTGATGTGAAATTAAATACACTTAATTTTATTGCAAATACATAGGTTCAATTTTCGTCTATATCTATTATTATTTATAATGTTCTAAAAAATACAAGACACCTAGGTACCTACAGTAAGAGTACTATACTCTGTTCAGTGAGAGAAACCTCCGGTTCTGCTCATCCCCCCCCCGACACTCTGCTATCGAAACCGAGGTTTCCCTATAGTAAGGTGTTGCGGAGGGTACAAGTTTTGATCGGTGAGCGTCACGTTCTCTCGCTGAACAGAGTATATACATATTTATACAATCTACAATAGTACGACTAGTATCTAAAACTTATGAAAACCAAATAATAATATAAAAAAAAAATTATGCTATTGATTAATAAAGTGCAAGCAAACAAACACACGCATACTGTGATGTACCAATATTATTTTGAATGTGTGCGGCTCAACAGCTTGCTAGCTCTTCACCTGTTATCCTGAACGAAAGCACATAAACAAAATATAAATAAATAAATAAATGTAACCCATGTGTTAATATTGTAAACATGATAATATTATGTATTATCGACAAGTGAGATTGGGAACAAAATCGTTGGCTTCGTGTCGTATAATTTTTTGCGCGTGTAATCATTATCTGCAAGCTCTTCCCGTTTTTAGCTCGAATAAAATTATGCAATTTGTTTTCGTTTTACGTCGAGACATATGCAATATAATATAATATTATAAACATCCAATAATATATTATATTATAGTGTTAAATGTCTCGACCCGATGAAAATATTCAGGGCCGGCTCAAGCGAAAATAGTGCACTTGGCAATATCAAATTTTGCCCCCCTATAAATACTACCCATGTGTTAAAAATGCCACCCCCTACAGAAGTGATGCCCTAAGCGTGGGCCTATGTCGCCTACCCCTTGAGCCGGGCCTGGAAATATTATATTAATTTTAAACCATATATTTAAACTTCTTATGATGTGATTATATTTTATGTTGTACTATACTAATATTTTCCTCCCAAATCGAATTTTAGACTATAATTGGTTATTAATTCGAGGTTGTTTGTTATATTGGATAACATTGAATTGAGTCCATTTTAATATCTTAACATATAACATGAATTGAGTCCGTGGAAAATCGCACTGTGTGCAATTGTGCAAATACGCACCAATAAGTTATATTCGTTCAAAATTACGACAGTTGTGCCAATACTTGGTTAACACAAAATTTATTACGAGTGCAAAATTATGGAGTGTATGTTTAGTGAAAAAAATTTTCATATTAAGAATTTAAGATTCGATTTCAAATAATGTTGAAACTTGAAAGACAACTGACAATTATAAGGTTCAACAGTGGACTTGTTGAAAAAACTCTTGTAAGTGTTTTCATTATCATCTAATAATGTTATTTAAGGAAATTCCAATAAATACAATCATGAAAAATGTGATTTAAAAGTGTTACTAATTAGACAAACAATTAGTAACCATGTTAAAAGGAAAGCTATGATTTTTTTGGTCGTTTATAAACAGTGTAATCAAGCATACACATTTTGTAGGAGCCAACCTCCACGTAGTGTCTCCTGAATAACGGTAATAGGCTGAAGAGACTCAACTAAAACAACCAACAAATATTTGCCGGACTCAATTTATTCCGACAACCCAAAAGTATTAATCGGACTCAATTCAATATTAAACGCCCGAATTGTATAATATATGGTGCGCTCAGTGCATTATTATTATTATAATATTATCATCATCATTATTATTATAAAATATTATTATATTGTGATTTGTCGAAAATCGCAAACGAAAAAAGCGGTTGCGAGTGAAGCGCATTGTAGGTATAAATAGGTACTGTTTTTGTTTGATATATATATATATAATTATTAGATTATACATATTATAAATGCTTCGCTTACGGATTTCGCTATCGGCTAGGACAATTCGAGTCTATAGTCTCGGTAAGTACGAGTGTCCGCGAGCCTATATATAGACAAAAAATAGTATCCATGTAGGCATCATATACACAACTGCATGCCTATCACAATTTATTCCTCACAATATAATATTCCAATAAACAAGCCTCGAATCATATAATAAATTAATTCCAAACAAATATTTAGTTTACACAATAATTATGTAGAGATGATATTATTATGCTGGTATATATATATGCGACGGAACTCACTTTTTTAAAGGCACTTGACTAGTCCCCGGTATTTGGCCACCATTTCTGGCGTCCGTAATTCTACACGCGACCATGTTGTAAGCTGAAATCAGAGAAAACGCAACGTCCGTGTCGGTAACAAAATATATTTTTGGGTGTCGAAGACCCAACGAAACGGATAGGCGCGACCCGTGCGAATATCGTTTGTTGTATTCAATCTTTTTTTCTTATCAATTTTCTTTCGTTTTCAACTCACCTTTTTCGTGTTTTCTCCGTTTCCTCTTGTTGCAAATCTTTACGGCGCACACGGACAATATTATGGCGACGATGAAGAACAACAGCCCGCCAACGACACCCGCTGTGATGGCCTTATGTTTCACCCTGGCCGGTACGGGGAATTTGATTTCTTCGCTGTTTTCGAAACTCTTTAAAGAGTACGCGACCACTCGGAAATAATAGGTACGACCTCCCACCAGACTTTTTACTGAAAATTTAGAAAAAAAATTAAATCGTTTTGGTATCCGAATATTTTCCTCGGAGAAATGGTTCCGTTTCATTTCATTACACGCGACTCGGATGAAAATGGGATTTTAATATTATTTGTTTTCACACATTTTAAAAGAAATACTAATGAAATAATGTTGAGACATACAAAGGTCATACTAATATTACTTAGCGTACGTATTAGGTGTACTTATATGTACTGATATAATAATATGCTTAGATGATAATATAAACGGTTTAGGTTAAGTTAATTTATTAATAAATAACCAAAAATTTGGAAAATTAAACAAGCATTATTAAAGAACTATCTACATGAGTAGGATATTTATATTTTGAATGTGTGATAATCCTCATAACAATTACAAAACGGTAACCTATAGATTTTTTATATTGGTTTCTTTTAAAACTCTCGGCGATCACGTTGCCACTGCACCGCTCATAACAATTGTGATAATATTTAAATATTTATATAAATTGCATATAATATTTTGTATTGAGTTTAAACTTAAAATTTCGTATTTTTATGATTATAAAAAGGAGTATATTGTTTGTATAATATGTACCCAGATAACGTGTGTCCTCTGCTCTGATTTGTGCTTTGTTCAAAGTTCTCCAAATCCCATCTGTCTTATAGTTGATGACGTAGTAACGGACTAGATGAGCTCTTTCTAATGGAGCTTGCCAAGATATGACGAAGCCATTTTTGACTTCGGCGATGGATACATTTCTCGGTGGTCCGGGTTTTGGTCCTGAACAAAGCAAAGTCGTATAAGAATAATAATAATTATAATTATCAAGCACACGACAAAAACTGGCAAACGGTGCGGTCACACTAAAACATGTGCTCTTCGCTCTACCGAACGAATGGTCGATGATAAAAACTAAGTTGATGATGAGCAAGGTGATAAACAATAATAATAATTAAGCCGATGATTTTTTTTTATACCTTTTGGTCTGAATACCGGTGGGTACAATGTAGCACCAGAAGATTCAGTGGGTAAAATGAGGTCGCTATAGTCGACAACGTCTGCAAAACGTGGAATAAAATAAAATAAAAATAAACACATGCAAAACAAAACAAAATGAAATTATAATTGTATGGGTAAAATCATATAGGTGATCCTGAAATAAATAATATGTTGAAAAAGGACTTTCTAAAAATGATGAAAAAAAAAAAACAATGTTATTTTAATTTCTTAACGAAACGTATAGTTGTGACACCAACTCTATCATGCGGTAAATAAATGTGCTATGTACATTACGAAAAAATCATAATAGTAAGTAAATAGTTGTCATGCATTATCTCTATATATGTATATATATATATTATTTGTATATTACACTAAATGAAAAATATGTACATTATATTGTTTGTGCTTACCGTCGCTTGGGGGAGGAGGTAACTCGGTGACCGGTGGCGCGGGACTTGTTTTTTTGGCCACGGTTAATGGTACGGCTGCTGCCACCCAACAGAGAATAGAATAAGCACAACAGACCAAACTTATGGTATACAACAAGGGCATTTATAGAACAAAATGTCGCGGACGCTTACAATAAGAAACGGAAAGCTTCGACACTGTCGCGCAAGCGGCGATCAGTTGAGCAACGAAGTGAGTAAAATTATAAATCACAAAACGAGGTAAGTATGCAGTTAATATTGATATCAAAATAGTTTCGACCTATTGGTCACTTTACACAGGCGTTAAATTTTGAATTTGATTTGTAAGCATCCGACATAAATCATTATATAATACAATACACGTTATCTACAATAAAATGTAAGTTATTTCAAATTGTGCATAAGTAGTTTAAATCATAAATTCTGCGGAAGTCCAAGGCCGCGTTGATCCTCGAAAGGGGATGCAACGTATAACTTTAGCAGAAGACATCAGAAGAGCTGACCTTGATCTACCACAGTCGTGTTTAAATTATTCAAAATACCTAGTTTACATCGAGTGTGACGTTAACGGCCACATTCGTTATGAATTATTATATTAATAATTAATATTTATTATAAAATTACATTGATTTTACCATATTCCAATAAGCGTCTAAAGCGACTAAATGTACAGTGCGGCCCGTTTATACAACTGACACTGTGTAGCCAACCCCCGTCAGTCGTTTTTTTTTTTAAAAAAACACAAGAATACTTTTTTAAAATAAAAAAAAAAAAAAGAAAAGAAAAACAATGGATTATTATAACTACGTTCTGATGCACATTTCATTTACTCACCCAGTGTCTTGATCGAAATAACTTTGCTAAGCATTCCATCGCCCAACGCGTTCTTCCCTACCACTTGAAACTCGTACGTCGTGTCCGGAGTTAGTCTGTTTATGGTGACTTGTGTGCTCCCCGACGGAGTGACAGGTATTGTAGACCAGTCCGCCATCCCTGGTTCTTTGTACCTGAACGAAAAATAATTACCCTCTGTTATAGCGAGGCCGTTTTGAACGGATTGCGGCGTGTCGAAGTTTACCAAATCGTATAGTCCTGTTTGTAATCGGGACCGCCGCTATAACCGGGTAGCCACTGAAGTGTAACGGTCGTCTCAGAAGCGTTTGCCGAAACGTTGTAAGGGGCATGTGGCTGAGTGCCCTCGACGACCAAATGAGTGGTTGTAACTATTGTGGCCACTTCGTTACTCGCGACACAGTGATAATATCCAAAATCGGTTTTTCTGAGGTTTTCTATTGTGATATTACCACCGTGTATGCTGTGACGACCTTTGGGCAACGGAGCCCCATCTCTCTATTTTATCAATCGAACAACAATTATGTTCGGTTCAAGTATTTGAATATCGTATTACCGTTATCGAATAACTTACTCTTTGCCATTGAATCTTGGGCTTTTGGGTGCCTTCGGCTTCTTGTGCGTCGCAATGCATCTCCACTGATTCGCTGATTTTGCGCTGGTACATGTTCTCTGGTTCAACGGTGAATGTTGGAGGTTTCCTCACTAACACTTCCATTTGCCCGGATGATCCTTGAGTACCCTGTGCATTGTAGGGTGTACACGTGTATCTTCCCTGGTGGTTTTGATTGACCTAAGCGATTTGAAACAAAAAAAAAGAAAGAAACACGCACTCGATTAGCACGTTCTCGGAACGGATTTTTTGTTTTTGAAATTATTTACCCTGGTAAATAACAGCGAACCGTTGTTCATGATAACGATGTCTTTCTGCTGATAAGGCTCGAGCAAACGTTTGTCTTTGGTCCATGTGACGTATTGTAAAGGCGGGTTAGCTTTAATGTAACATTGAACAACGCCAGCTAATCTGAACGGTAAATACTGTATGGTCGGTGTGAATGTAACTTTGGCTGGATCTGAATACAAACATATTAATGGTCAATATTTTGTTGACTTATGATTAGATGTATACTCACATTCGACGTTTAAATAGGCAGACGCGGATTGTGGGTCACCAATGCCGTTGCTGACTTCACAGAGATATTGACCCGAGTCATCAGCGCTGACGGGATTTATAACCATAGAACCATCTTTTTTGATGGTCACTCTGGTTTCCAACGATGAAATTGACTTCACAAAAGCTCCATCACGAGACCACCGGACAGTGACATTACCGGGCATGGCTTTTGCACCGCACGTGAATTCGACTTTTTCGCCTTCCAGTTTCGTCTGGTTTGTTGGAGGCGACATGATTACAGCTCCTCCAGCTATCAAAACCCTAGCCGTGTGGCTAATTTGTCCTTCGCCATTTCTGGCGATGCATGTGTAATCCCCGATGTCCTCAGTTCGGATGTTTGATATCCTCAGTTCAGTACCATCATTGAATATGCCTACAGTGGTCGTCGGCTGCACGTCTGTGGCGTCTTTGAACCACACGATTTCGGGCGTAGGTGTCCCCACAGCCTGACAGTTTAGAATAATGGAATCTCCGACATTTATGTATTGTACTTCACCGGGGATGGTGACGAATTTCGGAGGAGCTAAATATAGTGGAACGCAAACAGTTATCGATTAATTTATCCATAATTACTATATTTTATACTATATGGCATGACTTATTTCTTGTGAGCACAAGATAAAGAATGGTCAATTGAAATGATGGACTGCAGTTACTAACCGTGGACGTCTAGATGAAACCACGTCCCGTTTTTATTGGTTGGTGACCGGTTGAGAAACACCACTTTGCAGGCGTACCAACCTTGGTCCGACTCTTGTATATTGGTCAAGTTGAGCGAAGCGAGACCGTATGGAGAGTCCTGGGAGACTCTAGCCACTCGGCCTTCGTATCCCGAACCGCTGTGTGTGGGATAGTTGTCATACCAAATGAATATCGGTATGTCGAGACCCTAAAACATATGACCACTTGCGTTATATTTTTGTCACATATCCAATTATGCTTCAAATTATCCTATATTCAAGCGAACTGGTATGCTAATAGGTATATTGTGAAATATAACCGTGCTACCTATTATACTATGCAATTGAAGATAAATAATATTTTTAAAAATAATGTACCCATTATCATATACGTACTACAAAATAAATGCTGTTACCCCATACTAATAATTAATATTATTTGCTTACTTTTTTCTCCCACTGTAAAACGTAAGGCACGGGGTGTTCGGCTGGGAACTCCACTTGGCAGTTGAACACGACTGATTCGCCCACGATGGCCGTGATGTGTACAGCATCGTTGAACGTCGACCCGGTAGCTAAAATAAGCGGTAAGTAAAAATAAATGGTTAATAAAAATTTATTTTCATCTCTATTTTTCTGTATATAATAAAAGTTATATTAAATAGTAGATAAGTAGTTAAATAGTAAATATTATAATATTTATATTGTTTAGCCTTATAAAATATTGACCACTTATTATGATCTTTGACGTAATACAGTTCGATACTAAACATTGTATGCTATTTCTCTAGTCGTTGTAATGTGAAAAATACTGTAAATATTTAAAAAGAGAAAAAATATATATCTGCAACACAAACAAAATGAGATGGAGTAATATTTTACGATCAAAATATTATTCAAAAAAAATTAAAAGAAAAGCTTTTTACAAAAGACGAACAAATTATCGGCGTTCATCAGAGTAAAAACCTTTTAAGCTTTTCATGACCCAAAAGATTAAAGATGAGCTCCTTCGAGTAAAAAAAAAATACGAAAACTATAATAGCGCTGAGGACTACCTATATATTGTAGAGCCGGTTTGAAGTGGATTGCGATTATTCATTTTTTTGCAATTCTTTCAAGATTATTAAATGTATAAAATATTTTCAAAGGTGTGATTCGTTGATAATTATGAGTTATTTATAGTTTTATATTTTTATCGTCGTTCTTAGAGGAAATTAAAATCGGTCATGATTTGTGATGTTCCACCACTGTGCGTGAACATAATTTGGTGCAGTCTTGATAGATAAACGCTAAAACGTCCGTCGAAATATGAAAAAGTTGTATTAAATGCAATTATATTTTATTGAGTTCTTTGTAATATGAATAATAATTTACGATGTAATAATGGAAAACAGATTCAGCTCATTTTGACAATATACGTACTAATAATATTGTTAAATTTGAACGACTCCTTAATATTTACAAATAATTATGAAAAGTCCAATTAATTATATTGAAGTGTTATGGCTGCAGTTATTGTGTATAATAGAATTTAGAAATCACAGTTGTGTACTACGCCTTATAATATTCACCCGGCCCAAGGGACAGCCAAATGTTGGATCAATACCGACTGAAGAAACTACCGTCGAAAATCAAAGTTTGTGTTTCGACTACAAAATATGACTGCTATAAAATATAAAAAGTTAAAATCAATAACATACATTTAAAACGTCTGTTTTTTGATATTTACTTTTAATGTAAAGTCAAATCAGTGATTTCCTTGATTTTCTAGTATGCTTGTTAAACAATACATTACTGAACATATCGATCTATATAGTTTGATAGTATACCTATAACTTAATGTGCAATTCCTAGTAATTCGTTTTATAGATTAATAACTCTAATTTATTATTGTTATAACATATAATTATCAAGTTGTATCCCAAACAATAGAATATTAGTTATACTGTCAAATACGTACTTATATGTTTACATATTAATAACTGTATTTTTATTAGAAATATTTTACAACGCTGCAGTTGTAGCTATCAATGTGTTTGTTAGTGACACATTCAAAATTAAAATTTAATTTAATTTTACATTTAATGTATATTATTATACTTCTTAATTTATCAATTGTATTTCTCATTTTTTTTTCGATTTAACTTAGTTTAGCTCAATTTCAAATACCATAATATATTTTATCTAATATTATAATACCTATGCCTAATATGAATATTGTTTGCAAATCATATAATTATTTTTAATGTTTATCTATTAGGTAACGAAAAAAAATAATTCGTTTTTAAACGATTGTTTTGTTATGAAATTAAAAGTCTAAGGTAAGAAATATTAAATATTATTACCTACTGTTAGACGGTAATAAAAGTTTATTTTCCATTTAATTTGATCGTTTGAAACGTAATTATTTGAACTTTGACCATTTTATTTTAATTAATTTAGTATAATTAAAATTCGTTTATGTAATTCAATACTTAGTATTATACGTAAATGAAACTCGCATTCAAAGTTTATGTATATACTTTTTGTAAAACAATTTAGAATTATTTTGCTTAGATTAATTTATTAAAATCGTGTAGGTTCACGAGAAAAAACGTTAGTTCAACAATTAATATAAATTAATAATTAATGTTCATCGTCGAGAAACGATCAACTTCCGATTTTCCCAAAAACTTCTTAAACGTCTAAAATACTACTTGGATGGGACACAAACGGAAAAATATTGGTTTCAAACTATTGCTCACTGGAACGAATCCCTGCTTTTGAATTTGTAAGGTTTAGATCGGTATGAATGTGGATTTTTATTGAATTTTAGACTTCATTTTTAAAATAGATCGTATAGGTTTATGCTTAATAATATTATATACCTAATACAAAAAGCAAATAGAATTATTATTATTTATATTTATATATTGTATCAAACGGAGTCATACATTTTGTATTTTATAGACGTACATTTTAAAAGGTCAAACTGCAGATATTATATCATATTAGGTTATATACAGGTAATTCATAATTCACTATCATATATTATTGTAATCTTATTGTAATCTCTGCAATAATAAACATAAAATGTAAATTAAAAATTAAGTTTAGTTGACAACTTTTAAGTATAAAATTGATTTTTAAATTATTGTTTAACGTTTAACTATGAAATTGACTACATATTATATACTACACTAATTTTTTCGTTTAAGTAATTTGATAAGACTAAATGATCTAAAATGTAAAAAGGCGAACCTTTGACCCAGCCCTAGGGAAAGGAATATAGATTCACTAATGGTTTCAGGCGTGAAAAATAAAACGCTTTTAAAACAAAAAAAAATTTCATGAGAATGATATCATTGACGGGAAACAGCTTTTGTTAAAAGGGGTTTTCATTGTTCGCCGAAAGGTTTTATGAAAAAAACTACTCATCTTCCCCTTCAACCCGTAGACGATAAAATAATGGAAAATGAGGATCCTTGGATCTAAAGTATCCAAGATAGGATGTAAAATATTGTGAATACTATTATTAAAACATATCCTTATAATGACCAACATTTTTGCATGTAATAATAATGTCATAGTCTGTATGTAAAATATTGATGAAGCGTTTAGGTAGTATATGTTTTGATACATAATATTGCTTAACGTCAAATTGTATACAAATGATCTCAATGGAGCTAGGTAAAGAAACTTTTTTCTTTTATATGAAAAAAAATCATAAGAAATAATAGTTTTCATATTAAAACATAATGTACTAAACCATTGAATAACAGATATTTTATTTTTATTTATACAACTATCAAAACCTTTAATATTATTTTGTTTTCAATTTTAATGAAAGTGCATTAAAGCAAGTTATTAATTCATTTTATTGACTATCTGTTTTATTTATTTAAGAAAGAATATTTATTTAATAGCAAATATTTAATTGGATTATTGATTTGTTTAATAGTAGGTAATAAAGTAATAACATTGTTCTAACTATTTTTAATTAAAAATAATAATTATGGACATAATACTACAGATACTGCTCGTACCGACCATTCACTAACCGAAATTGTATTATGAGTTCATGACTTTTGGTTTAAAAAAAACGATAAATAATTGGATTCAAAAACGATTCTGATATTTTACTTAAAATTAATGTACACAAACTGAATAATAGAAGAAAAATGTAATCAATTTTACGAACAATGACTTTATGGTTTTGTTGAGAATTTAAAATGAACTATTTAAGAAGAAAAAAAATGTCCCAATAATACTGCAATATTATTTCATTACGAATACAGACTAAATTATTTTTAAGTGCATTCCTACTATACTTTTGGCTTCCTCGATATTCATATCAAATTTAATTGGAAAAAAAAAATTATGTCATTTTTAATACAGGTAGGAAAAATACAAAATCATATATTATGTAGGAAATGAATTATGTTTTGAGTGGTCGAAAAAAATTACATTTCCTCGGGACCTCCGGTTCACGACCAAATAATAATCAACCGTCACGTCCTGAACATACAGTTTGTTGATCGTGACGTGTTTTTAATTCCGACATGGACAACGGTGGTTTTCACCAGTATATTTCTTATGTCACGAGGGTTTTCTATTTATTTACTATTTTTTTTTTTGACAGACTTCTGTAATATTATAAGGTATGGGTTTTCGGTTTTTCCGACGAAAATTATGTTTACTGAATTGATTCTCTGCTTCATATTTTCCGAATCGAAAATTACTAAGCTACTGTTTTAATTTTTAATACAAAAACGAACTTTTAATATGTTTTATACGCATAACATTAATTGTTAAAGTTGTTTGAAACATTAATGTAAATATAACTGGGATAATTTTATCTGCGTTTCATCGGATAATTTTTAAGTAGTTTTCATTCCGTATTATTTATGTTTAAAATAATTTAAATAATCACATTATCGATACTGCAGCTATACAAATGAAAAAAATTACTCTTAGGCAAGTTAAAAAAGCCTATCAAACATCATAGATCATTGAGTCACTATTTAGTTCACTATACTCATAAGTTTAAAAAAAGAATCAAAATAATCTGTCGTCATACGAAAACGTTTTCCGATAGACAGCTTGATGTAGCTACCTACTATTATAATAGTGCCCTCTTAATTAAAAATATATTCTTAACGGGCTGTTATTTCAATAGTAAATAATTCATTTCGTTAAAAACTGATATTTCAAATCAATAAGCATTTTTAACTACGTAGGTACCGGTAAAATCGTAAATTATTGCGAAGTTGGTATTTTGAAATCGGTACGCATAAATAGGTTTAGCTGAGTCTTATATTATAATATATAAGAACGATCGAATTTATCATTTGCAGTTTATTAACGAGAGGAGTGTACTTAGTGTACACTATTGAAAACATAAATAATGTGCACGAAACACGTGCCATATTAAGGTCTAACTACGTTATATTTTCCATGCACACATTATAGTGTAAGAAGTTATTAATGTGTTATTTAAGACTTGTTTATATTATTAGGTAGGTACTGTGAGTTCAACATGGTCATATAATATTATAATATATAGGTACGAGTGAATTATTATAAGAGTTGTTTTTACAAAAAAACATTCTGGTACATATATTTCTTAACGATATACATTTTTTAACAACAATCATTAACCCGATATCGATTAAAAATGTTATTTAAATATTGTGTATTGTACCCATACATTTTTTTTTTTTTTTTTTGTAAATTGAACTCTGCGATGTCTGTTGCAGGTGTAACGTCGTATAATAATTACAATTCCGGTGACAAACGCGCACAGTGAAAGGCATTTGAAGAAAACCTAATGAATCATAGTCATTATCCGTAAAATGTCCGACATAATCGTACTCACATGTCGCATTGATTTAATCGAAATAGATTTTAACGAGCGAAAGTCCGACGGGCGGTATATTACTCAATTATCTATACTGCACACCGAATACGTTGTGAGCTGCAGCATCTATTATGTATTATTGTTTCTAATATGATTATATTACGTAGGTACCCGAAATTGACGACGGTATAATATACTCTATTCGCCGTAGTTTCTTTGATATCGCTTGTGTATGTATATAGTAACAGAGCATACCACCGAATGATTATTAATTCATCGCGAGCTCCGCGTAAATATATAGCACGAGAACCGCCGGAGATGTGTTTATGTAAGACGCGCTTGGTGTGTACCTATATAAAGTCGCTTAATAGTATATAATATATATATATATATTGTATTATGTGAAGGCAATCGTGCTTAAACTTTTAGCGACAAAAATCGAATCCCCCCTAATGCGCAGTTCGACCACTCACTTGAGACTAGGACCCTGTTGAACAGCGAGAGAACGAGAGCTGCGAAGACTACCGTGACTTTGCTAAATAGTCTCTGGTCCAGCCGTAGGCCCATGCCTCTCTTCCCATACTCCTTGTTAGACCTCTGACGACGCCATAGTCATCTGCAAATGAAAGAAAAACGGTCAGATACAATGTACACTATTATAGTATTATCTATCGGTAAACAATGATTATAATATAATAACAATAACAATTACCTATATGATATAATATGTATACAATAATATGATGATTTAGAGTTTAGACCATCATTATACCAAGGGCTATTGTTCATAGTATGTATTATGTAGTGTAACAAACCAATAACTAATAAGTGTGACAAGTATATTATGACATCGTGGTGTATTAATCAATAAATAATACGCTGGTCGGTAGATACGTGTATCTAACATTATTTCGATGGACTTAGAAGTCAGAACCGTATATTTGCACATCTATAATAAATTTTAATAGGGAGATGTGGACTGTGGAGACTGACAGCGAGCGTCCTATATGTGTTATTAACGATAACGGCAAAGGACGGGTCTCAGGACAGCAGATTAGTAGAGTTATATGGACGTAAATTTTATTTTTGTTCACGGCCAAACTAGTTTAATAACTAATAAGTAACTTTTTTTTCTTACTATACATATTGTCATTTATAACAAATTTCAAGCATAAATAAAGATTTATACCTATACAGTTATGATTTTCATATTGTTAATAGCGGGTAAGTTACCCTGAAATAACTGGTTCAATTAATTATCCAAACATTTCTTGAATCGGAAAAATCGGTCGAGTATTTTTTGTTTCTATATGCCTCCTGCCTCGACAATACATTTTGCTAATAGTATCAAAAAATAACTGCAGTTACTCGATTTTACACTTATATATAGAATAGCTTTATAGTCTGAAATCTAAACGATACAATTTAATAAAATGCAGACATTATTTATATCCAATAAAAATTACCATTTTATTATCTGTAACCTATGCAGGTAACCGAGTATAAAATCAAAAATACATTCGATTTTCTTGAGCTGAAACAAATTTTTGTATCCATGAAAATACCCTATAGTAACCTATATATGAGTTGAAAACGTAGTAAAAAAACTCTCCACGAGTTTCGGGGAATCTATTGATATAACTTTTATTTAAAACGGTCTAGTAGTTTTTGTGTCTATAGAGAACGAACAAACAAACATTCAATTTTATACATTAGATAAGACTTGGTGCGACTTGGTGCGTATAACGTAGTCTCATGTCAAATCGACGGGACTTGGTCAATAAAACACAACCGTTCGTGCGATTTTACTGCTTATTCGCTCCGTCGAAAGTAACTCGTAATAATGTATTATTTTTAGGACTATGAATGCGATGTCTTATACGAAATCGAAAAAATTCTTTTATGCCCAAAAAATTTAAAATAATGTACCTATAAAAAACTCTCGAATTGTTTGTTTTAAACAATTTTTTAACCAAAAAATGTTTTCTATTAAATTTAAAAAAACAAAATTTTGCAGGTCTGCACAATGTCAAGTTTTCTACTTTAATCAGAAAAAACAATAATTGTTATTCTCATTCGATTTGCCGTCGATATTCGTGATCACGAATTTTACGTCGTGTCGTACGGATCCGTTTGAAAAATTACGATAATGTTCGATTAGGCGCACAAATCATGTCAGCACATTACAAAGTCACTCTTTTAAGTAAAAATCTTAAAGTATAATTTTAAAAATAGCGGATTTTAGTGCTAGATGCCTTAAAAATTCTAAATTTCTATAAAAAATGCATAGCTTAAAGACTTCTTATTCTGATTAAAAAATACACTAAACGTACATTGATATGTCATAAAAGTAGCATCACTTAGCATCGCATAGCTTCGGAAAAAATTCAAAATGCATCGATGTCATAATTTCTATTATTGTTATGCTGTGCACAGAAATGGGGTGTGCGCTCGGGTGGTCGAATTTCGTGAGCGCACCACCCTTTTTCTACTATTATGATACTGTTGTATATGTTACCGATAAACAGGTATATAATATTATGACAAAAAAAATAGGTTGTGAGACGTAAATCGTCAAATATTCTGCACAGGGTTCACCATACTATAATAGTATAGGGTAGGCCGAGTATGGTTTTAAATTGAACATAACTCCGGTACTGGTTTTCGGAATGGGGAGTGCTTAAAGTGCACCGTTGTGTTCGGTTATCAATGACAAATCAATCGTTATAACATGGTGAAGGAGATAAACACTTTACGTTCACCGTGAGGTGTTATTTCGAAATCAGTCATATTACTGCCCACCCCCCTGGGCTGGAGATGTGTAATTTATTTTATTGGTATATCTAAAACCAATGCTCGCATCTTATAAATAAAATTTGAACAAAGTTGCTGAAAACTGCAACGAAATTAACCAATAGTTCCGCATCCGATGCTGGGTAACGCAGTTTTAGATTTAAGAAGCGCCCGAAAACATATTATATGCAGCATTTCCTAGAACAGCAAAATATCAGCTCCAAGACGCTCACTTGATAAATAATTGTTTTTGCCGTATTATGATAAGCCAGTGGCGTACGCAGAATTCGTTAATGGGGGGGGGGGGGTTACCATATTTTATATACAATGATCCTAGTTTAAATATAATATTCCATAAAAAAAATCATTATTCGTATTTTACTTGGTCGGTTTACGTCGGTACGCCACTGTGATAAGCTATCATTTGGTAAAAAATAAGTTACCTAATTCAAACCGAATACATTACTTTAGTTAATAGTTATATTCTTATTTAAAAATTATGCGTTTACCGTGGCTGACTCTGTATAATACGAATTTAATTCAAAATTATAATTTTTATATACGCATGCGTGCACGCATGTTAATGCACAAATCAGTTACTATATTATAGCTACATAGACCTTTAGACAAACGAAGACCGAAGCCTCGGGTTAGGGTCGGTGGCGTGACGGACTTGCTCGCTTTCGGATAAGACTGGTACGGTCGGTCCGCTAGTCATTAAGCAAATATATATTATCTGTGGCTTGGTGCAGGGTCAATGTCAAAAAAGAAAACTGTTGGGAAATTTAATTTTCTAAATAGCTTACTTAAAAAAAAAATTACAACTTGAATGGGTTTTGTATTAAAGTTTTGGAATTTCGATGACTACATTTCTTAACACTATACTCTAAACTTAACGAGACATTTGTTTTTTGTGTAACCAGAAAATGTATTAATTTTATTTTCACATTGGCCGACTTTATGGATAGTAAATATTACTCATACTTAACCAAAAACTTAAATAATAATTTACTCGGTTGCACATAATATGTAAGTACCTAATTTATATTATATTTATATACTTCTATCGATTAATGTCAAAATGGCCAATGTATGTATTTGGTCGGTCATACAGCATATTTACATAAATAACACAGGAAATCAAATATCAATAATATTGGTCAAATTATCGCGAATTCGTCCAAACGCCACATTGGCCATGCTTACACCAAGCCACAGACATGGCGTGGCCGGAGCGATATAGCCGGCGTGTTATCACTTATCGCTCCTACCGAGTCCTCCCAGAGTAGGTACTCACGTGATGACGACGGGACGACGAGCGGAAGTCGGTTCCGGGACGGCCGCGGTTGTAACATATGTGCACGAACGGGTGCGGCGTCGTCGTCGTCGTCGTCGTCGCCGGCGAAACGTCGCGGGCCGTCGCCTGGTCGCGGCGGCCGCTCCGGTACGACATGGGCGGCGGCGATTTTCAGGGCCGCTGCGGCGTTGTTTTCGGGTCGTCGGCGGGCGTTCTAATATTTTCGATTCGTATCAATTCCTCTCGCGATTGCCGTTGTCGGCGCTCTAATGCGTAGTCATCGATATCGTAATTTATTATGATATTATTATTATAACAAATTATGACTATGAGGTTTTCAAAAAATACACCGTCGGCGAACTCGAATCACGATCCCGGACGAGGAAGAAGCCTGCCTCATTCGCTCGGTCGTATCGGCTGAGTCTGAGTCTCGAGATCGCGGGGACAAACGTGGCGTGTGCGAAAACGCGCGCTGCTGAAAAGGCGTTTCGCGCCGGTGGCGTGCGTCGTACGCGGCGTGTGTACGGTACAAAAGAGTGCGCAGCACTGGCGACGCGCGCGCGACTGCAGCGTCGTCGGCGGGGATTTGCCGGCTGCTGGACCGGAGCAAGGGCGTGGATCGACGCTTGCGCTTTCCCGGCCATTCCAACCGGCTGGGTCCGAGAAAACAACCACGCCGCCGCCCCGAACACCCGTGGGCCCACGCCGTACCCCGCGAGTCCTAACGACGACGACGACGACGACGCCGCGCCGTCGAGACTCGCCGGGTCGTCGTCGCGAAGTAAGTAATAATACATAGGTACCTATGTAGTAATAGTAATGGTTATAGTAGAAGTAGTAGAAGTAGTAGTAATAGTAGTGACAGTAGTAGTGGTTGTGGTGGCAGTAGTAGTGGTAATGGTGGTGATAGTGGTAGTAGTAGAAATGGTAGTGTTAGTGCAAGTTGTGGAAATCGTATAAAGATTTTTTTTTTTTTAGTGTGACATTTTGAGTAACATAACGGTAATTATATGGGATGGGCATAGTACAATATACAGCCTCTTAAAAACCGTGTCAAGTTTTTATAAAATATATAATATATATCCTATATATATATAGGATAAAAAAGAAATAAAAATCTATTGTTACAGACCGTCTCAAGGAGCACATTGCATTATTTTTCGACAAATTAACAAGTCTTTTTTTACGTGTAGGTACTAAGAAAAAATATTTATGTCACATATCATGCGGACACTGCAGAGAAGCTGCAGTAAAAAAGAAGTTGAATATACGAGACGTTATTAGGTATTTGATTGAAAAAGTGTATTTTTAGTACTTGTTAAAACGTTCAACATATTTAGCACGTATATGAAATACTGTCTATCCCTGTAATTGTATGGGGACCTACTTTGAAAATATAGTGATTTGCATCGGCAAGCTGAGTTTGCATAATATTAAAAAATTCAATATGTATACGCAACTTTTTAAATGAAATTAC